CCTCCTCCTCCTCCCTCCTCCTCCTCCTCCTCCTCCTCCTCCTCCTCCTCCTCCTCCTCCTCCTCCTCCTCCTCCTCCTCCTCGGTGCCCCAGGGCCCTCGGGTCCGAGGAGGGCCCCGGGGCGGCGGACCGCGAGCGGGCGACGCACCGCGGGCCGCGCCGCGCGCGCCCGCGCCCGCGCCCGCCGCCGCGGCGGGCCGGGCGCCCGCGGCCGCCTAGCGCCGCTGCTGCTCCCCACCTGCTTCCGCCGCTCCTCCTCGGCGCTCCTCCTCGGCGTTCCTCCTCCTCGGCCTCGCCTCTCCTCCTCGGCGCGCCTCCTCGGCGCCCCTTCCCCTCCTCGTGCTAGTGTTGTCCTCGTGCTGTCCTCGTGCTGTCCTCGTGCTGTCCTCGCGCCTGTGCTGTCCTCGTGCTGTCCTAGTGCAGTCCTCGGCGCTGCGCTCGCGCTGGTGCCGTCGTCGTGCTAGGCCGCCGGTTCCTCCTCCTCCCTCTGCTCCTCCTCCTCCCTCCTCCTCCTTCTCCTCCTCCCCTCCTCCTCCTCCACCTCCTCCTCACCTCCTCCTCCTCCTCCTCCTCCTCCTCCTCCTCCTCCTCCTCCTCCCTCCCTCCTCCTCCCTCCCTCCCTCCCTCCCTCCCTCCCTCCCTCCTCCCTCCCCTCCCTCCCTCCCTCCCTCCCTCCCTCCCTCCCTCTCCTCCCTCCCTCCCCTCCCTCCCTCCCTCCCTCCCTCCCTCCTCCCTCCTCCTCCTCCTCCTCCTCCTCCTCCTCCTCCTCCTCCTCCTCCTCCTTGTCCTCGTCCTCCTCTCTCCCTCGCTCTGCGCCGGGCCCCAGTGCGCGCGGGAAGGCGAGGAGGGGAGGGAGGCCCTGAGGTCCTGGCCTCGCCATTTTTTCGAGCTGGGCGTTTCTGCGCAGATCGGTGCGGCTCGAAAAAAGGCGCAGAGAGATGTGGTCCAGCGCTCCAGGATGATTTTTCGCGGCGTCTCAATTTTTTGAGACGTCGGATCTCGGGGAGGGGGGGAGGCCGGGAGGAAGCAAGAGGCGGGAGGCGATGGCGGAGGAGGAGGAGGGGGCGGAGGTTCGCGGCTGATAGGGAATGGTGATGACGATGAAGACGATGACGCTGGCGCTGACGCTGGCAATGCTGACGATGCTGATGATGATGACGATGACGATGACGATGCTGATGACGATGACGATGACGATGACGATGCTGAGGAGGCCTCTTGCTCTCCTCGCTCTGAACCGCCCCTGCTCCCAGGCGTCCAGCGATGCGTCCCCAGGGGGCAGCTCCCCCGCCTCGGAGCCAGGTCTGCTGGCCCCCGGTGGCCTGGAAGCGGTCGGAGGTCTCGGTGTGTCTCCCCGCCCCGAGCCGACGAGATGCCGCTCCGCCGCCTGCCCGCTGGCCGGCAGCCGACGGGAAGGGGCTTCCCCGCAGCCGTCGCCCGCGCCCGCGAGCCCGCGAGCCCGAGTTCCCCCGCGGCGTCCGAATTCGGCAGCAATGCAGCTCCTCGGCGGGTCCGTCCTGCTGGCCGCCGCGGTGGGGTCGGGAGTGTGGGGGGGGTCACCACCCACCGAACCACCCCAACCCAACCCGAAGGCCCCAATTTGCCCTCCATTCCTGGTGTGTGTGTGGGGGGGGGCGTCGGAAAACTTAGAAAAAACACATATATGGAACCCGTACCCCCCCAACCCGAGATTGGGGACTTCGGGTTCGGTTGGGGCGGTCTGGAAGGTAGTCAGGGGGGCAGTCTTTCTCCCCCCGTGAAGGAGAGAGCAACGGCGCAAGCATAAGCTTGCAGAGGTCTGCGCCGATTCTTCGGATCGGCGCTGGCGCCGCCAGGGCGCACTCTGCGTGCCAAGGTGGGGTTTCCAGTGCCGATCCGTGACGTCGTCGCGGACCTCCGTGAGTTCTTCCCAACCCTCCCTTGATTGGGTTCTCCACATCCTCCTCATCCTCGCCCCGTCCCGCTCTCCTTTCGGCTCTCCCCTCTCGCATCCTTCTTGGGGGCCGCGACGTGCGAAGCCGCCGCCACTTTCGAGGGCTGCTGGGGGAGCCCGCACCGAGGGGCCACGCGCAGATCCAGACGGGACCTCGCCATCCCTGGGGGTCTGCGAAGCGACACCGTCGCCACGTTCGAGGGCTGCTTGGGGGGGGCAACGCAGATCCAAACGCAGATCCTCCTCCTCCTCCTCCTTCTCCCCCTCCCCCTCCCCCTCCTCCTCCTCCCCCTCCCAGATCCAAACGTTACCTCGCTATCCCTTGGGGGCTGCGACGTGTGACAGTGCCGCCACTTTCGAGGGCTGCTGGGCGGGGCAGCAGCGCCGTGGGGCCCCGCGCAGATCTCCCAGCGTGACCTCTGTTCGGCGGGTCGGCCACGTGCACTTCGCACGGCGCAGATGTCCGCCGTGCACCGTCTTCTTGCAGTGCTGCTGCCCCACCACTGTCGGCACACGTTGTATCATCCCTTGTGGGGCGACGAGATCTATGCATATCCACTGCTCCTGGCCAGGCCAATCCTGGGCCCAGGAGCGGTGTATACGCCCTCCTGGCCTGGCCAGGGAGGCATATATACAGCTCCTGGGCCCAGGATTGGCCTGGCCGGGAGCAGTGGATATGCATAGATCTCGTCGCCCTACCTTGGCGCCGATGGGTTGGGTACGTCGCAGGGTGATTTCTTATTGTTGACGCTTCGCGAATCCCCACCAGGAGCGGCGCCTCTTGTAGCTAAGTAGGCTTGCCCGTTGGCCCGGACACCCTGCTCGCCGCCTGCCTCTTCGCTGGCGGCCGCGACCGAAAAAGAATCCCCACCAGCCCATCCAGAAACGATGCCCGGAGGAATTGCCTCGATCAGGGAAGCGGGCAGCACACAGAGGAAGGGCCCCCCAGTGGAGGCTTCTTGGAGCGTCTTGGGGGCCGCTTGGCGGTCCCGGGCGCCTCTTAGAGCGTCTTGGGTGCCTCGGAGAGCTTCTTGGGGCCTCTCGGGGGTCTCTTGGGAGCCTCTTGGAGGCCTCTTGGGCGCCTGTTGGGGCCTCCTGGGGCCTCCTGGACGCCTCTTGGGGTCCTCTTGAAGCGCTCTTGGGAGCCTTGGGAGCGCTCTTGGAGCCCTCTTGGGCCATCTTGGAGCCATCTTGAGGCCTCGGCGGGAAAGCCAAAAACATGGATTTCCCAAAGGTTTTGGAAGGATTTTGACCTCTTCGGGGCCTCCTGGGGGAGCACTTTGGCCACTTGGAGCGGTCTTGGAGCGGTCTTGGGGCCTCTTGGAGCATCGTGGGCGCCATCTTGAGGCATCTTGAGGCATCTTGGGATATCTTGAGCCATCTTGGAGATCATCTTTGGCTCTCCCAGGCGCTCTTGGAGTCATCTGAAGCAGTGCCCCCCAACCCCCCCCAGGAGGCCCAAAGACGGGGTAGGGGAGGGGTAAACCCCTCCCCGAAGGGGAACAGGGAGGGGTGGAAGAGGAATCGCTCCAAACCACCGACGCCCAGAGGGCTGATGGGATTCTATCTTTGGGGACGTCGCAGGGTAATTTCTTATTCAATCTCAGGGGCAGCGACGGGGGGGACCAGCCCAGGGTGGAGACAGCGACCACCAATCGCCCCGTCATCGTCGATCGGGGGCTGATTGCCCCATCCTGCCCAGGAGCGTCGGGTGTCGCTATCGGGGCCCTGTCCCCGATCTAACGGTGATGTGCTGCCGATTCCAAGGCGATGCTCCCCCCACTGAGCCAGTCTCCATGTCGCTCTCCCCATCCTCGAAGGCCAGACCTCCGAAGGATGGATCTTTTCAGTCCTGGCGCTCTTTCCTAGCCATTTCCAGCCTCCGCGGGGGCAGTTTTCGGGCCTCCTGGGGCCATCAGAAATGAGCCTGGGGCGACAAAACTGACCCTGTGGAAGGGCAGGGGGGTCGGTAATCAGCTTTGGAACCGCGGGCTGAACAGGACTCACACCGTTTGATTTCTGGGCCTGGGGCCACGAGCCACGAACATGTTCGTATCTATGCACCCGTGGTCTGGGCACGACGGCGGGACCCCATGGATGCGCGGTCGTTCCGCGCGGGGGCCCAGCGCAAAGCCAGCTTGTGCGCATGGGGTCGCGGTCGCGAAGTCTTGGCCGTGAGGCCGTGGATCTGGAGTGCTTCCGCGGGCGAAAGGGCGTGCCGTTTTATCTTCGGCCGCCGGAGATGCTCTCTCAGATCTGAGCCAGCATCCCCCTCCGCTGCTGGCTCTGGCCCTCGGCCTTTCCCGAGGATGTGGAGGTGTGACGTGGATGTCAAAAAAAAATGCTCTCTCATATTCCCCCCCTGCGCGTCGTGGCCGTCGGCAGCCGCTTCGGCCCCGAGCTCTCGCTTTGGCCTCCCTGGGCGGGCGCCTCGTGCACAGGCGCTCGCCCTGGGCGCCTATCGAGGGCGCGGGGGCGGTGCTCCTTCCGGGTCTGCGCGCCGCGCTCCACGAGCGGCTCGTGGGCCAATCTGCCCTCCTCCTCCTCCTCCTCCTCCTCCTCCTCCTCCTCCTCCTCCTCCTCTTCCTCCTCTGCCTCCTCCTCCTCCCCCTCTTCCTCCCCCTTCCTCCTCCTCCTCCCCCTCGCGGACTTCGGCGGCCCCTCTGCGAGGCCTCCGTGGCCCGCCCGGGCCGACCCGAGCGGGGCGGAGGGCACCGCCCTCCTGCCTCCCGGCGGGGGCGCGGCGCGCCCCCGCCGCCCGCCGCTCGCCTCGGCCGGTGGCCCCATCTGGTGGCCGCCGCCGCGTGCAGCCTCTGCGGGAAACAAGAGATCGTGGGCTCAGGGCCAACAGTCGTGAGCCAGAGGTCCACTTTGGGGGCTTCTTCCAAGGCCACCGCCACCTCCACCGCCACCACTTCCACCACCGTTCCCAGTACCCGCCTCGGGGCCATTTTGGCCCGCGGGCGGGGCGAAGCGGGCCTCCCCGTCGCGCGGGCTGCGATCGGCGCCTTGGGCGCCGCGTAATGGGGGGGTCATAAATGGGGGGGTGGCGAGGGTGGTCCGAAAAGGTACCCAGACGGTACCTAAACGAGCCCCCTGGGGCTCCAGAGGGGCCCGAAAGGGGCACGAAAGGGGACCTTCTTTGACCCCCCCATTTGTGACCCCCCCATTAAGCCACGCCCAAGCGCCGCGCCCTGGCCTGCGGCCCGGGGGGGTGCAGGCTGAGGAGCGCGCGCGGGCCTCGTCCGCGGGGCCCAGCCGCTGCGCCATCCCGCGGCGAGGCCTGGCTGCCGGCCCGCTCGCCGCCCGCTCGCCGCCGGCCGCGGCGGCCGACGCCTCGGCGTCGGGGGGATTCGCAATCCCCGATGGGCTTACAGTCGAGGCGTTGACCTAAGGAACCCTAAATACTCCAGATGTCGTAATAAAGGGGAGGGGGTCTGGACCCTCCAAGACAAGCCATTTCAGACCCCCCCTCGTGGGAGAACCCTCCAAAACATCGTCCCCAGACCCCCCCAGGCCCTCCAAGATAGCCTGGAAGAGACCCCCCTCCCCTCCCTTTATTACGACATCTGGAGTAAGGAACGAGGCCCCTTTTTTCCCATAAGTTCAGCCTCGATTTCCTATGGACAACCCCAGGAAAGCCCAAGGGGCACTGTAGAGCAACGAAGGAACACGGAGCCCCTCCTCCACAAAAAGGGTTCCTTCTTCAGGGCCCCGACTGTATCTGGCCAGACCATGGCCCGTTCGCGCCATCGTCAGCTTCGCGTTGCGGCCGCTGGCGGCTGGGCGAGGGCGAGGTGCGCTGCGCCGCTCCCCCTGGCCGCTCGGCCTGGGGGTATCCTGCAGGCGTTGCCTGGGTCCTTCCGATTAGCCGACCTTCTCCGTCTGGCGGACACGGAAGGGTTCGCAGGGCTGGTGGGCCCTTCTCAGGTGGCCAGCGTGCCCTTGCTCGGCGCGCCTTCGCGCCCGCGGAGCACGACCGTTCCAATGTTGGTGGTCGACCTGGAGGGCTCCGAGGTGGACCTGGAGGCCCTCGCCCCCCTGGGCGAGGGAGACACCGACGGGCTGATCCCGTTCGGGTCAGCTCGTGGCCGCGCGCATTTGCTGCGCCCTCGTGGGGTCTTCGGCCCGCGCAACGGCTGCGTGGCGATCCACGCCGCTGCGCCAATCGACGGGGGCGAGGCATCCCCTGGCGCGGAGCGGGCCACGCCCTACCAAGCCGCGGACGAGTTCGCGGGGGGCGAGCCAGACGGCGACGCCGAAGGCGAGGAACGCGTGCCTCCCCCTGAGCGAGCCCCGCCGCTGTCAGCGGTGCCACCCGCGCTGGCGTGGGGCCGTTGCGGCGCGCGGCCGAAGCGCAGGGCGCGCGAGGCCCGCCCGCGGGCGGGAGGGGTCATCGCCGCGGCTCTGGGCGAGGGGGTGCCGACGACCCGCGCGGAAATCCACCTGGAGATCCAACGGTTGATGGCTGCGAATGCGGCCCAGCCCGTGGCTCCACCCCTGGGGGCTCGCCCGAACATGCCTGGGGCCCGCCCCGAGGCGCCGCTGCTGTTCGCGGGCGAGGCGGCGCGTGCTGGCACCCCTCGTGCGTGCCTGCAGGCGATGTTAGCGCAGCTGCCTCTTCCCCCCCCGGCCGCGCCAGCGTCGGCGCTGGTGGCAGCTCGGGAGAAGAGCGGACTCGGGGCCGCCCGCCCGCCGCCCCCGCCACCCCCGGTTCCGCCGCCGCCCCCTGCCTCCCAGGGGGCTCGCCATGCCCGGCGGGGGCGGCGGCTCCGTCGGGGGTGGCGCCGCGGGAGGCGGGCCCCGCGTGAGCAGCGCGCCGCCAGCGTCCCTTCTGGAGCTGGCGCCGCTCTGTCTGCCGGGCGGGGCCGCCGGGGGCGGCGGCGCAGCCCCCTGCTGGAGGCGCTCGGCGGCCCTCTCCATCCCGCCGCCCGCGCGGGGGCCGAGGCGGGGGCAGCTGGGACCTCGATGCGCGGAATCGCGCGCCGCAGGGAATGGCGGCGAATGCGGGTGCAGCGCGGGCAGGAGGCTCGTTCCATCCTGGAGGCGAACCTCGCGCGAGCCCCGGGGGGTAGAGCCGCCTGCGATCGCTGCCATGGCAACGTTCCATTATTTTCGCGAGCGCGGCGCTCTAGGGGGCCGCCCAGCGACGCGCGAGATTCTCGCGCATTCTGCGTGGCTTAGCGCGGGCGCGGAGCTGTGGCGCGCGTCCGAGAGCGGGAATGCGGATAGGGTGGAGACCTTGCTGAACTGCCGGTGCATGTTGTTAGATCAACTGGCACGGGGCCGCGGTTGCCTGGAAGCCGCCTGGTTTCCCCAGGCGACCCGCCTCCGCGCGGAGAGGGGGGCCCAGTTGCCAGTTTTTTCGCTGGTGGGCCCCCGCTGGCTGTCAGCGCAGGGCGATTGCGTGGGGGAGGTGGCCTTGTTCCGCTCGCGCCTGGGCGCCGATCGGGCGGCGGTAGGTTGCTCCAGCGATGCTGTTGCGGCACCGCAGGGAGATGCGCGTCCCGCGGTCGTGGCTTTCGCCCCGCTCCCCGCACCCCTTCTGGCCCCGTCGGAACCTTCGGTTCCTCCTCGCCCTGGCTTCTCGGGCGCTGGGCTGACGTCCAGTTGTTCGGCCGCCGCTCCTGCCGCTGCTGACGTCGCGAACTTTGTCGTTGACCTCTCTGTCTTGCTGCGCCTGTTCCCATGCGCGAACACTCATGTCGCTCATTGGGCCGCTGCGTTGGCCCAGGTGGGGCAGAGCGCTTGGTGTTCTCTGGCTTCGTTCTCCCGCTCATCCTTCCGCGCGCTGGTTTGGGGCGCTCCTGCTTCTGAGGAGTGCCTCCCCCGCGGTCCTTGGCCGTGCCCTCCCGCCCCCGCTCTGGGGCCTCCCGCGCCATTGCCGTCGGGTCGGGCCAGGAGAGGAAGCGCGCCGGCTTTACTTGCTGGCCCTGCGGAAGCCCAGCCTCGAGCCCCCCGGGGCTCGCGTGCGTGCAGCGGTTTCGCCCTGCCAGGAGGGTGCGCGGAGCCGCATTGAGCGGGTCTGCGTGATCGCAGTTCGCCTTGCCCGTGGCGGAAAGAGCGACTGAGGGTGGGTGTTCGCGAAGTTCAATTCCGCCGAGGTCTCGCCCCCGCCTGGCCATGCATGTTGCAGCTCTGGGGGCCTCGTTCTCCTCCTCGTCCCTTGTGCCTGCCCCCATGCGGGCATGCCCGAAAAGCACTCCTGTTGCTGGCTCGTTGGCTACTGCGGCGGCTTGGGACGCCACCTGCGCCGAGCCTTTCGACCATCAGGTCAGGGCTTCCCGCATTAAATGAGATGATTCGCCGACGTTTGATCCCGCCCCTTGCCTTTCCGACGCTAGGGTCCACGCTGCTTTCTCGGGCCCGGAGGTCATGCGCCTGCGCGCGGAGAGTGGCCTGAGGGGATCCGGGGCGCTCGACTCCATGTGGATCGAGCGGGGTGCTTCTTCGAAAGTGGGACTCCTGCGGCGCTGTGTTTCTGACTTGCTCCTCTGACCTTTCCTGGGATGGGGCGTGCGGGGCCTTCAGAGTCCCCGAGGGTGACGATTTTGATCATTTGATCCCTATCCCACGGTGGTGAACAGTCGCTCGGACAGGGCTTCTTGCTGTGCCGCATGAGCTTCTGGCGTGTGGATCGGCGGTATCGTGCGATGACTTGCGCGGGTTCTATTGCGGCTTCAGAGTACCACCCGCGCGGGCCAAGCGGTTCGCGTTGGGAGTGCGGCCCCCAGTGAACCGCTTTAAGTCGTTCAAGGCATATCGACCCGAGTTGGAAGGGCTCGATGTGTCCCCGAGGGGAAAGAAATTGCCGCCCATGAGGGCGCGCCGCGCATGAGGGCGCGCCGCGCAGTTTCGGGGCCTTGCGCCCTGAGGAGCGAGCTTTGCGTCGCTTGCCGTTTCCGCGCGGCCCCGTCGTCGAAAAGCTTCGTGTCGACGATCGCGCGGGGTTTCAGAAGCTGCCCTGGACCGGTGTTGCCCCGCTGCCCGAGGACCCGACGCGTCGGGATCAGGTGGTGTTTACGGATCGTGAAAATAACCACAGCCACTGCTTTCCTTTTGTCGCCGCCTTCCAGCCCGCAGAAACAAAGCAGTGGTTGTGGTCATTTTCGTTGAGCTTGGCACCAGGGAAATGACCACAACCACTGCTTCTTTTTCGGCTGGCTGGAAGGCGGCGCAAACAAGAAGCAGTGGCTGTGGTCATTTTCTCGTCCCGCAGTGTTTGCCACCTTTGATTGCGGGTGCCCCAGCGGGGGCCTCAGGGTTTGGGGGTGTTTCGAGGCTTGGGGCGTGCTCCGAGGCTGTCTCGGGCGCCTGGGGCCTCCAGGGCCCCCAGAACCGTGTGGTGACGGACCCTGCGGTGATGTCTGTGGGAAGAAAACACACCGTGGGGAAAAGCACACAACAAAACATGTTTTTTTTGTGTGTTTCCCCCCCCCCCCCACGTGTTGTTTTTTCCCACGGGATCTCGAGGTCACCGCCAGGTCTGTCACAACACGGTTTTGGGACCCCCAATTCGGACGGATCTTGAGCGGGGGCCTCAGACGCTTGGCGGTTCGACGTGTCTGCGCAGGAGGTTTTTCGTCAATCGCGGTGAGAGCAAGAGGGAATCATGGTCGGTCTGCAGCGAGATCTCAGCAAGTGTGGCCGGGAAAGTATGACATGCTTCACGAGTCGCCTCGAAGGGCAGTGCCGACCCCCAGTTTTGCAGGGCTCACTGGCGCCTTGCTCCTTCGGGGGTCGGGCTCGCAGCGCATCGGCATTCTCATGCTGCCCCATCCGTTCTCGCACGTCCGGTTCTCGCCCCCTGCTACCATTCGCTGTTGCTGGCCTCGCTGCAGCGGCGCCGATCGAGCGCCGAGTCGCCAGAGCAGCGCTGACTGGGTCTGTCACAGTCCACCGAGCCACCCCAACCCAACCCGAAGGCCCCGATTTGCAAGTCATTTCCAGTGGGGGGGGTCGGGGAACATTGACAAAACACGCGTGGAACCCGTACCCCCCCAAGACGAAATTCGGGTCTTCGGATTAGGTTGGGGTGGCCTGGTAGGTAGTCAGTCTGGGCGACGCCGGGGAAGCAAGGATCGAGTATTGCGCTGGTCCACGACTCGGAGTGTTCTTGCAATCTAGAGTTAAGTCGGGCCTGTCCTTCTACAGGAGGACTTTTCAAAAATAGGAAAGAAATAGTTGTGGGACGTTTTTTTTTTTTTTTTTTTTTTTTTTTTTTTTTTTTTTTTTTTTTTTTTTTTTTTTTTTTTTTTTTTTTTTTTTTTTTTTTTTTTTTTTTTTTTTTTTTTTTTTTAAAAAAAAAAAAAAAAAAAAAATTCATCCAAGATCCGCCTGTAGGGGGACAGGCCCGACCTAAATCTAGAGTGAGGCTGTCCTGGACTCTGTGGCTACTCGCACGCTCAATGTTGAATGCGTTTGTCTATCACGCCTGCATAAGGCAGATGAGCAACTAGCAAATGAAAACAACGAGTTGTTCTTGCTCTCCTTGTGGAAATCAAGTGCAAGGGACTTGAGCAGTCACGAACGCACGTTAGGCTCGGCTGCTTCGCAACAAGCAACACAGCAAACAGCATGGCGCGGGATGCAAGCCTAAATGGCGTACCGTAGAGAGTGAGCCTCTCCGTACAATTGTGTGCAGAGAGGGTCCCCTTTGAGGCATCGGTGGAGCTCCAAATGGGAGCATAATGTGTGTGAGGGGCGTGCCGAAGTAAGCGCGGCGACGCCACACTCACACCCCCGCCAGGAAGTAATTTGAGGCTCGGAGGGAGGCACGAAGCGTGAGGAGGGTGTACAGTGAGCGCAGCGACACCATACTCTTACTTCCGTTAGGGCCACAGATCCGTTACGGGGCACGATTCTTCTGGCGGTCTCTTTGTGTCTCCAGATGGTGGGGTGTCTCGGCGCGGTCTTGTGTCAAATCAGAGCCAGCTCGCCGCAGGCACAGTGGCTGGTCATCACATTGCCATCACTGCATGTTGCATGCGCTGTGCGCCGCCCCACTCTTTCCCTTGGTGCTGGCCGCGTCATGTGGCACCGTACTCCTGGCTGCGATTCTGTGAGCCGTGCCGAGAGCGAGGAGGCATCGGCCGCCGCACGGTGAACATCCTGCCCGGCACTCCAGGGCACCGTGGGCCGACGACCCCATGGAGGCAACCATTGGCCCTCGCATCCGAACGAGGGACCATCACAGGCCCTCGCACCCAGTTCGTTCAAGTTGGGAGTCACATTTGCTCCATGGACTTGCTCATTCGCCACAGTCGGACCGAGGTATGAGATCGAGGTCGGTTCGGGGAGGTTTGTTGTTGGAGTTTCTGGTGCATGCTGGGGAGGGGGCCCTTTCATGCTCTGTGTGTTCTGGCCGGCGGAGGCTCTCATGCTCTTGCAGGATGTTCTTCTGTCCCTGGCCCAGCTGCACGCTCTCTCTGCAACCTCGATCCCTCGGCGGTCTGGGAAACTGCCCCCTCCCGGGCTCTGGCAGCTGGCCGCGCACCGTGCCGCCGGCTACCCGGTGTACACCACGGGGTCCTCGCTGGACACCTGCGACGGCATCTCCTGCGCGGCGGTCGACTGCGCGGGGCCCTCGGGGGGGGGGCGGGGGCGGGGCGCCGCGGGCGGCCAGGGGGGTCCGCGCGAGGCCGCCACGAGGCCGTCGGGTCCCGGGGGAGAGACGGGGCCCGGGCTCGGTCGCCGCCCTCGGGCGCCCAGGGCCCTCCCCGGGCCTGGGGGACCGCCAGAAGACGACTCAGGATGAGCTGGTCCCAGGGGGGAGGCGGTCCGTCCCCCCAGGGTGTCAGGTGATCGCCAACATGGATCGAGGGGGCGTGGATTTAGCGACGGGTCCCGTTTCCATGGGAAATCGTGGATTTCCGCCGCCGAACGAGGCGGCACCGGCCGCATTTTGGGGAGGGCACCTCCCCCGATCCATGGATTTGGCGACCGCGCGCCAAATCCATGGATCGCTAAACCATGTTTAAGCGCCCCCGACCCTTCACGCCAAAGAGGGCACCCGTGTACACCACCCACCGTGCCCGGGCCCAGCCAGCATGGGCGCATGCGCCATGCCAGGGCCTGGAGGGGATTTGGGCCAGGCATGGCGGTGGTGAGCGGGTGCCTTCTGCGTAGGAGGAACAGAAGGATTCTGATGATGGGAAAGGAGGGGAGGAATGGGGGAGGAGGGGGAGGAGGAGGAGGAGGAGGAGGAGGGAGGAGGATGAGGAGGAGGGAGGAGGAGGAGGAGGAGGAGGAGGAGGAGGCGGAGGAGGAGGAGGAGGAGGAGGAGGAGGAGGAGGAGGGAGGAGGAGGAGGAGGAGGAGGAGGAGGAGGAGGAGGAGAGCGAGGAGAGGAGGAGGGGAGGGGGAGGAGGAGGGGGAGGAGGAGGGGAGGAGCGGAGAGAGGAGGAGGAGGAGGAGGAGAAGAGGAGGGAGGAGGAGGAGGAGGAGGAGGAGGGGGCGGAGGAGGGGGGGAGGGAGGAGGGGGGGGAGGGGGGAGAGGAGATGGGGGAGGGAGGTGGGGGATGAGGAGGAGGAGGAGGGGGAGGGTTGGAGGGAGGGAGGAAGGAAGGGAGGGATGGGTGGGCTAGGTTTGCACGAATGTAGTAGGGGGCCCTGAGGGGGTATTATGGGGCTCCCCCTGTGCACCTCCCCTACCCCCTCCTCCTTCTCTCCCCCTCCTCCCTCGTCCTCTCCATCTCTTGGGCCGTCGGACTCACTTGAGTCTGGCGTTCCCTCAGCCGACCCCCTTTGACTGGTACTGCTGGGGAACTCTCCCTCTACAGCTTCTCAGTCTGAGGACTACTTTCCTCTCTCCCCCTTAGACGGCCTGAGAGTCGCCCCCCTCTTCGCGTATATTTTTGTTTACACAGGATGGGTCCAGGTTGGCTTTCATGTTTGTTCCGATGTTAACGTTCCCGGTGCTTCAGCACAGGTTTCCCGCTGCAGCGCGGGCCTCATTTCAGTTTCATGATTTTGCACCCGTCGTTCAGAATGGCGCTCTCGCCCCAGCGCGGGCCTCGTTTCTGAATTCGTGTCCTTTCCCATCGCCCATTCCTTTTCCTCCTCCGCCTTCCCCTGGTCCTCCTGCTCCTGCTGCTCCTTCCTCTCAAGTTCCTGCCAATTGCTGCTGCTGCTGCTGTTCGTCCTCGTCCTCCTCCTTCCTCCTGCTTCTCCTTTTCCTTTTGCTCATCCTCCTGCTTATCCGCCACCTCCTCCTCCCCCTGTGTACGCAGCTTCCCTTCTCCGATGGCGCATAACGCGATGGGCTCTTTTTCGGAGTGCCAGGTTCGCTATGACACGCGTCCCTGGATATAGAACACATCAGCGCAATGGGAAGGGATGAGTGAGAGGGGTCGGATGCCATATTTGGCTGGAGCACACCTGGTTGCCCTCGCCCATCTCCCCTTCGCATCCCGCTCCTCCCTCGCCCTCCTCCCCCCCCTCCCCCCCCTCTCCCCTCCCCCTCCCCTCGCCCTCCTTCCTTCTCCCCTCTCCCCCCTCCCCTCCTCCTTCCCCCCCCTCTCTCTCTCTCCACGCCCTCCCGTCCCTGGCGCCCTGTGCACGCCAGAGCGCCCACCCTTCCAGAGTGTTCTCGGCCCCCTGCCGATGCCACCGTCGCGGGCCGGCGTGCCTGCTCGGCCCAGGGGGGGATCCGTCTTTGCCTGGCGCGCTTCTTTTCGGGATGCGTCCAGAGGTCTCAGGACGCCCTCAGGAGGTTCCCAGAGACCCCAAGAGACTCAAAAGGCTTGAAGCAAATCCACCCGATCCTCGATCTTCTTCTTCCTCCTCCTCCTCCTCCTCCTCTGCCTGCCACTCGCCTAACATCCCCCTGGGTGTTGTTCAGGGTGTCGGTGCGATGCTTCTCCGCGGGATGCTCGTGCTCGCCGCCTTCGAAGTGCTCGTGTTCATCCACGTGGAATCTTGAGGCTACGGCCTCGCCCACCTGACAGGCGTTCGTTTGTTCGCTGGTTCGTGTACGTCGATGTGGCGGCTCTTCTTCTCCTTCCTTTTATTCCCGGTATCATCATTGTTATGACTAATAGTTTCCGGTGTCTGTTTCTTTGTCTTGTTATTTGTCTTGTCTTCTTCTCAGTATTCGTATTCTTCTTCTTCTTCCTACCTCGCTCTCCCTCCCCTCGGCCGCGGGGGCCGAGTGGGGGTTGGCCAGTGCTGCCAAGGTTGCGCCGTTCAAGTACGTGGCGCCGCGAGCCCGCCCGCGGGGGAGAGGATTGAAGGGGAGGGGGGAGGAGGGAGGCGGAGGTGGGGGGTGAGGCGAGGAGGAGGAGGAGGATGATGAGGAAGAGGAGGAGGAGGAGGAGGAGGAGGAGGAGGAGGAGAGGAGGAGGAGGAGGAGGAGGCGGAGGGAGGAGGAGAGGAGGGGGAGGGGGATGATGGAAGAGGAGGGAGGAGGAGGTGAGAGAGGAGGAATGAGAGTCCTGGGGGGAGGAGGGAAGAAGAAGAGGAGGGGGAGAAGGGGGGGAGGACACTCTAGGTGCGCTTGCGCCTCATCTGGCACACTCCCTCCTTCCCTCCCATCCCTTCCCATTGCGCTGATGTGTCTCTAACTGCGGACGCGTTATAGCCGACCTGCAATTCCAACAGAAATACCACATCGTGATTTGCGCTATCGGAAAAAGGGGAGCTGCATGCACATGAGGAGGAGGAGGAGGAGGAGGAGGAGGAGGAGGAGGAGGAGGAGGAGGAGGAGGAGGAGGAGCAGGAGGTGGCGGGTGAGCAGGAGGATGAGCGGGAGGAACAGCAGCAGCAGCAGCCAGATCTGGAGTGGAAGAACTGGGAGGAACAGGAGGACCGGGGGAAGACGGAGGAGGGGAATTGATGGGGCGACAACGATGAAGACCGACTCGAATTCAGCAGAAGTGACCCGAGCTTGGGCGCTCGCTCCAGTCTGAACGACGGGAGCAAAGCGCCGATCCGAAAATGAGGCCCACGCTGCAGCGGGAACACCATCGTGAAGAACCGAACAAACACAGTATGATGGTGACACACCCTACGCAAGCATTAATGTTTGAAACCGCGTGCGTAAACAAACAACACGCGGAGAGGGCCCGGCATCGTCTAGACGGAGTCTGGCGAGAGAGAGAGGAGAGTAGTTCTCACATTGTTTTCAAATGTTGATTGTGGAGGAGGAGGATGTGTTGGAGGAAGAGGAGGATGAGGATGGATGCCCAGGAGGGAGAGGATAGGATGAGGAGGGAGGATGAGGAGGGTGAGCCAGGAGGAAGCGTGAGGGGGAGGATGGACCTATTCCAACTTTTGTTCGAAATTATCAAACTGCGTGTGGCAAGTCCCGCCACCGTGGTAGTCCAGTGCTCTCGTAGGCCACTGTTCAAAGGGCGACAGGATGCTGCAACATGTGACTCGAGCGGCGGGCGTTCTTAGTAAAGTGTGTGTGTGTGTGTGTGTTGACGGTCGGGATAATGGTCATAACGCCGTCACATGCCATTATTTGGCCGTCCTCTAAACGCTTCGCGTAACCCCATCAGCCCATCCAGAGACGATGTTCAGGCGAGTTGCCCTGATCAGGGATGTGTGGAAGCATGCAGCGGAATAACGGCTTGGGGAAGCCGTCGTACCCCAAGATGGGGAGGAGGAGGAGGAATCGGAGGAGGAGGATGAGGAGGAGGAGGAGGAGGCGGAAAAGGAGGAGGAGGAGGGGGAGGGGGAGGGGGAGGAGGGAGGAGCAGGAATAGGCGGATGAAGAGGAGGAGGAGGAGGAGGAGGAGGAGGAGGAGGAGGAGGAGGAGGAGGAGGAGCAGGAGGAGGAGGAGGAGGAGGAGGAGGAGGAGGACGGGGAGGAGGAGGAGGAAGAGGAGGAGGAGGAGGAGGGCGAGCAGAAAGGCTAGAGGCCTCTTGTACGCCTTTCGGAGTCTCTTCCTTCGGATGTCTTTTGGTGTGTCTTGGGGGCCTCTTGGCGGTCGCGGCGGCCTCTTCGAGCGTCTTGGGCGCCTCGGGGGGGCCTCCTCGGGTCTGTTTGGGGTCTCTTTGGGGTCTCGTGGGGGCCTCTCGAGGGCCTCTTGGGGGCCTCTCGCGGCCTTCTGGGCGCTTCTTGGGCCCTCTTGTGCCACTCTCGGGAGCCTCGAGGGTCATCCTGGGGTCATCCAGGAGGAGTTCGATCAGAGAAGGGAGGGTACCATATTCGCGCCCCCCATAAGGCCAACATGAGCCCCAAACCTAAGTACCGTGTGAGCCAGCGTGGACCCCAAGCAGTCTGTTTCTAGTAATTTATGCTGTGCATTCTATGTATTGCAACATGTGAGGTGCAACATGCGTGGTGCAATACATGTGGTGCTATCACGGCATAGCAACGCTAAGCACGGCATCGCATTGCAAAACAACGCAGAGCAATGCTGAGCATGGCGTAGCACGCAAAGCAAAGAAATGCAAACCAATGCAACGCAAAGCAATGTACAGCAATACAACACAATGCAGAGCGATATTAAGAAATGCATTGCTTCGCTTTGCAATGGGAACCAGTTCAAAGCAATGTAATGCAATGGCAACCCAAGGCAATGCTAAGCACGGCGTAGCAATGCGAATCAAAGCAAAACATTGCAAAACAAGGCATCGCAAAGTTATGCAACACAAAGTAATGCATCGCAAGGCCAAGCAATGCAATGCTTTGCTTTGCGATGCAAAGCAATGCGTAGCAACGAAGAGCGACGCAAGACAATGCAACGCAAAACAGCACAACGCGACGTCGACGGCGAAGCAACGGCGACGGGCGGCGACAAGGCGGCGACGGGGCGGCGACGGCCGGCACGGAGCCGCCAGACCGACACACAAGCGCAGGCGACGGTCAGCGACGAGGTGGCGACGGGGCGGCGACGGCCGGCACGGAGCCGCCAGACCGTCACCGGCCCAGTTCTTTAGTATTAGACCAGAAGTAGGATACCCGAAGGGCAAGCATTGTTTTGGGGAATCACAGATTGACGACGAGCAGATTTACGGCACGACGACGGCCATCGGCAGTACGACGACGAGCATCATCACGACGAGCTGATCCGCATCACGAGTACGAGCGGCGCGCTGGCGACCGGCAGCCCCATTCGGAGCACCGTGGCCCGGGGCAGCAGTTCGACGGGGCCGTCCGCTGGTGAGGCGAGCAGTGCGACGCGTAACCTACCACGCCGCCGAGCAGCACGACGGGGAGCAGCAGTTCCTCGCTGAGCATCACGACGGGGACCATCACTTCCACGATCTTGGTTCTCTGGATATCCATTCTAGTAGTGCTCTAGCAGAACCCCGCCCGCTAGACCCCTGCCGCCATGACAACTGCCGCCATGACCAGCGCTACCTCCAGGTCCAACATGTGTAGCACCACAACATTGAGCAGCATCCCCACCGTGACCACATCCAGCATGCGCAGCGCCACAACCTTGTCCAACACCTCTACCGTGACCACATCCAGCATGAGCAAACCCACAGCCATGACCAGCACCACCACGATGACCACATCCAGCATGTGCAGCGCCACAGTTTTGACCAGCACTTCCATCGTGACCACGTCCAGCATGGGCAGCACCACAAACCAGACCAGCACCTCCACCGTGACCACGTCCAGCATGAGCAGCACCACAACCCTGACCACGCCAGCACCGACTCCAGCACCGATCCCTGCAGCACGTCGCCGGCACCTACTCCGGCACCGATGCCAGCGGCACCGTCGCAGGCACTGAGTCCGGCGCCATCTTTGGCACTCCGTATCCCGCTCCTGCTTCTCCGACCCCCACTCCGACGCCAGATCTGGCTACTACCCCAGCACCGACTCCAGCGTCCGTTCTATTACACCATCACAGCAACCAAGTATGTGACATTTTGTTGCGTCTTGCGTTGTGGTGCGATTCATTTTCTCCGAGCTGATGCCGAGGTCTCCGTGCCCGCCCGGGGCAGAAATTCGGTCCGTTGCTCCAATCCGTCATCGCCTATACGATTACAGAGCCACGCCTGGTGCCACGCCCAGGCTGGCGTGCAGTAACGAGCCCAGCACTGACGCCAGCACAATCGCCAGCGCCTGCGCCGGAACCAACGCCAGCGTCTTCGCCGGCACAAGCACCAGCGTCTATACCAGCACCGACGCCAGCACCGACGACTGCCCCAACGACAGCGCCCTCGCTGGCAACATACCCGCGTCTACATCAGCGCCGACGCCAGCACCGATGCCAGCACCAACGTTGACACCTACGCTGGCACCAACTCCAGCGACTACACTGACACCCGCGCCAGCACCAACGCTTGCGCCTACGCTGGCACCAACGCCAGCGTCGACACCAGCACCAACGGCAGCACAAACGCCGGCGCCGATGCCAGTGCCGCCGCCAGCACCGACGCCAGCATCAACGCTCGCGCCTACGCGGGCACCAATGCCACCGCCTATACCAGCGCTTACTTCAGCACTGACGCCAGCACCAGTGCCTGCGCCAGCACCGAATCCAGCACCAATGCCGGCGTTTACGCCAGCGCCGACGCCAGTGTCATCGTCCGCGCCTACGCTGGCACCATTCCTACACCCAGCGACGACGCCAGTTCTGGCACCAGCGCCAGCGCCTGCAACAGCACAGACAGCAGCAACACCAGCACCAGCGCTAGCCCTCCACCAGCTCCGACGCCAGCACCGACGACAGCCCCAACGCCAGCTCCTATACCGGCACGAACGCCAACGCCTTCACCAGTGCCGACGTGAGCTGCGTCGCCAGCACCACCGCCGCCAGAGCCTGCGCCGGCGCCAATGCCAACGCCTACACCAGCATTAACAGCAGCACCGACGCCAGTATGAACGCGAGCGCATCTTACGCCAGCGCCGACGCCAGCACCGACGCTTCCGCTCGTGCGCACTACCAGCGGCACGCTGCGGTCCACCCCAGCACCCACAGTTGCAGCCGCCAGTGCAGCCACAGGACGTTTGGGACTCTCAATTGTGTCCTCGGAGGCGTGGCTTCTGCGTCGGGGTTGTCTTGTGTATTATGGAAGGCTTCTACTGTTCGCCCCCTGCGTCCGTTTCTGCTCGCCTCCAGGTTCTGCCCTCAGGACTTGTGTTGAACATGCACAAGGGCGTGCGCGACCGGGACGTCCAGCAGCACGACGCCGAGCTGCGGGCCGACAAGACCGGTCGGCGAGCTGTGCGCCGTGGTATCGGCCACGCGGCCGGGACAAGCGGCTCGGAGTTCTGCTTTTTTCCGTTCCTTTCTCTCCTCCGCCTCCTCAAGTGGCGCAGGGGGCGCCCGATGCACTCAGGGGTTGCGCGTGGGCCGTTGGCCGCCCTGGTCCGGTGAGCCGGTTCCGTATGGGGGCCGCTCCACTTGGCAATGTTGTTTTCGAGTTCCTGGCGTGCGATTCTCGCCAAGTGTCCTCGCGCCGAAATTTGGCGCCTCACTTTTGCGCGGTGGCCCACGGTGCTCAGCGTTCTGCCCTACCGTCGTCGCCTTCCACGCAATGGACTGGCCTGTATTGCCCAGTCAGATTTTAGTGGCATGTCAGGAGTTTGAGGTATGCTCCAACCTTTTGTTACTATGTTGCGTTGCGGTCCGTGTTTGCTGTTGTGTGAGGCCCGTTTGTATGAATAATCGTTCGGATCATGGAGCATTGCGCTCACAACGGTGTCATACATGCATCTGTTCACCTTTCGCTCCTCTGTCCTCCTTCTCGCCCCCCTCGTGGCTGGTGCCTTCTGTCTTCTGGCGTCGGGTTGAATCCTCATGCGCAGCATCGGCCTGGGGCTGCGGATCTGCATCGCGATCTCTTCTCAATCTGCTCCTGATGCGAACGGCTCGCGCGTGAGATAACAATGGCACCATGCTGCCTGGACGCTCAACGGGTCGCGATCCCCCCCCACTCCAGACCCAGGGGGAGGGGCAACGGGGGAAGGGTCAAGACACCTTCCCCGCCCGCAAGCTGTCTCGCTCACTCCCACTCGTCCTCCCGACACATACGCAGCAATCGGGCCTCAACATGTTCAGCGGTCGTCTTTGGATGGGCAGCTCGTGGGAACCAAAACAGATTTCATGTGCGCAACGCTGGGGCGAGGTGCGCCACGCGTGCCAGGCGCGCCGCGCGCGTCAGGTGCGCCAGGCACCTCTGTGGCCCTAGCGTGCCAGGCGCGCCTGGTACGCCAGATGCGCCCTGTGATCCATGTTCGCCATGTGTGCCGCATGCTCCAGCCGCGCCAGGTGCGCCACGTTCGGAGCACGCGCAGAGTGTGCCAGGGTGCGCCTGCGCACTTGGCAATGTACATCGGGAGACGTGTCGGCCCGCGCCATCCTTTTCGAATACGAGTACGCAGTCGCGGCGGAGTGGCCATCATAATGTCTGGTGGGCCTGCACACAGGAGGCAATATGCCAACACCCCCGCCGTCCCAATCATTATCCAATGCACAGTGATCGCGGGGTGCCCGCCCATGATCAAGATTTTGCTTCGACGTGCATTTTCCCCAGCTATGCTTTACCATCAGGGATCTTACCTAGTCACAAGAATTTGTTTTTCGAGCTCTCTGCCGGTTGTTTTTGTTGATGTTGTTGTGGTGGTTGTGGTTGTGGTTGTGGTTGTGGTTGTGGTTGTGGTTGTGGTTGTGGTTGTGATTCGGGCGCTCTGGCCCTTCGAAAAAGCGGTGACCCTCACGAGGATGGTGCCCCTCTGGAGGGGCTGACGCCCACTACCTAGTCTGTGGGTCACTTGTGATTCGGGCGCCCTGGCCCTTCGAAAGTGGCGACCCTCTCGAGGATGGTGCCCTTCTGGAGGGGCTGACGCCCTCTGCCGGGTCTGGTTCGGGCGCCCCGATCCTTCGAAAAGTGGCGACACTCACGAGGATGGTGTTCCCCTGGAGGGGCTGACGCTCTTTGCCAGGTCTGTGGGCGTAGGCCGACCGACGATTTGACGGTCGAGGCTGGGCGGCGGTGCGATAATTTCGTTGCCATGTTTCTTGAGACGCCTCGCGCAACCCTTGCACAACAAAAGCGAGGGATGCTGGCTTCGGGAACCCATGCCCGTCGTCTTTGACGAGGGGTCGTTGTCTGGGCGGCCCAGGCCCACTGTTTTCCCACGAGGGAAAGGGGAGCAGGGGGCGATGCGCGCGGCTGGGCGCTGCGAGGGGACCCTTCGAATATTACAAACCTACCAGACAGCTCGTGGCATTTTATTAGTCTTTAGCGTGTCCAGAGGGCACGGTGGCGTTTGTGTGGAATGGGGTTTCCAGACGCTTGTGGGGGGCGAAAGTGACAATGGGGAGGATGGGGAGGAGGAGGAACAACATCAGCAGCAAGAGCGGGCGGAGGGGGGGGAGGAGGCGGTGGAGTCGGACGTGTTTCCGCCTCCGCCTCCGCCATCACTCTCGCCCTGTCCCCACACATTCCCGCCTAGATTTTTTTTACCTCCTCCACTTGGCCCTCTCCCTCTTCCACCGATTGTTCCTCCTTTCCTTTCACCTCGTCCTCCTCACCACGAGGCTTCTTAAGCTGGTCGTCACCTAAGTCGGGCCTACTTGAATAATTTTAGTAAAGCAAGGCCCGTGGTCCCGTCTGTCGGCTGCACGACTCGGCCTTGCTGTGGGTGACCCCTCCCATTTCCTTCCACCCTCCCTCCTTCCCCGTCACTGCTCCTTTTCTCCCCCTGTTCTCTTCATTCCTCCCGTCTCCCTCCCACTCCCCGCTCTCCGCCCTCCGCTTCCTCTCAAGACGTCGCCTTTGGTTCGTCGTTTTTGTCGCCGTCCTCGGCCCTTGCCTCGTCATCCTCGGCCTCGGCCTCGGCCTCGGCCTCTTCCTCATCGTCGCCGCTGCCGCCGCCGTCGTCGGCGCCGTCGCCGTGCGCGCCGCCCTTCGGCGTCTGCCTTTTGGCGCCGGCACGACCTGTCGGCGGCCGCCAGCTCTCCAGGCGCCTGACAAGGCGGGCACCTGCTGCCCGCTGTGCCTCGCGGACGAGAAGGACGTGCCGGAGGACGTGCCCATGCGGGCTGGTTTAAGCTCATGCCCAAAAACTCCCTGCTTGCCTCCAGGGTGCCCTGCGTTTCTCGGGTTTCGATGGTTTTGCTGCGGAAAGCGTGACGTTCCCACACCAAGAATCAATGGACGTCCTGGGGTCTCAGGGCTGGGTTTCCTGTGGAAGGTTTCTTGTGGTCGAGCCCCTGCTGTACAGAGTATCAGTGATTCGCATATCGTCTTTCATTCTAATCGGCGGCAGGTTCGTGTCGTGACGACCTGGGCGGTGGTTTCTGACACCGCGCAGATCGGTCAACCTTGAACGATCGGCGGCTTTTCGATCACCTGATCGTTCCATATTGAGCGATTCTGGGCCCCTGGCGGCGTTCAAGCTCGACCCCTACGCTGGAGTCACCGCCGCGTCGTCACGGCATGAACCTACCATATCAGTGTCAGTCAGTCGTTTTTTGTGCAAATGCTTGGCATTCCTTGAACAGTCACACGCTGGCGGAGTCGTCCAGCCAGCTTGACGCCGATATTGTTTTTGGCTCCCGATGTTCCTTCTCTACTGTGGCATGGAGGGTGCGGATCGCAGTCCACCGCAAACCCGCGGACGATCTGTGTGCACCGTGCCGCGTTGGCGTCTCCCGAGCGTCGTCGATGTTCGACCCTCCCAGGAGTAACGAGGTGCGCAGTTCTCCGGACCCCGGGGCCGAAATCACGGTGCATCGCACCGGGCTTGAGCGGGGCCTGCAGGGAACACCAGATGCCGTGCTTTTGAATCCCCTGGCGATGCTGGGCGTGACGGGAGGGGAGGGGGGGAGGGGCCAGGTTTCAGTCGGCACTGGCCCTCTACGGGAAGAGTTTTCAAAATAGTAAACAAATGTTCAGGAACGATTTTCTGATTATCTTTGGGCAGATTTGGGGTATTGTCTGATTATATTTTATTGCGAAGGCCTTACGGCCGGTGCCGCCGAC